GAGAGAGAGAGAGAGAGAGAGAGAGAGAGAGAGAGAGAGAGATTGAAGCAAAACTTGGAGTATGGGGAAAAGGGAGAGGGGAAAGGAAAGAGTTGAGATAAGAACATGCCTTGATTTGAACTTCGTGCTAAAGAACCAAGCAGAAGTGCCTCCCTTTCAGCCATCATTTCTGTACAATTCATCCAAAACCATTGTAGCAGAGAGGATGGCAGTGGAACGCTGTCATTCTCCCACAGAGTTAGTTTGAGGGTGAAAAAGAAACAAAGGGTGCTTTGCCCACTTTTTGTACTTCACTACTGAACCAAAGTAAGGAAAACTGCTGGGTCAAGGACAACACAGACGAGTCAGACATAAGGAAACAAAAACAGTTTCAAACATTCAGATATTGCTCCTCCAGACCTTGAACAAATTTGGGGATTGAAACTGTTGACAACATGTGGGAGGTACAGCCAGAAGTACAATTAGAGTTGGTTCCATACCAAATATCAATAAGTTACTCCTATGAAAATTAAAGTTGTGTTAGGGGACTGGAGAGATGGCTCAGCATTTAAGAACACTGGCTGCCCTTCCAGAGAATGCAGGTTCAATTCTCAGGACTCACATAGCAGTGACTGTCTGTAACTCCAGTTTCAGGGTATCTGACACCTTTACACAGACATACAAGCAAACAAAACACCAATGCACTTAAGCTACAAATAAGTAAGAAAGTAAGTAAATAAATAAATAAATAAATAGTGTATTAGAAGTATAGTCCACACATCTGTATTCAAACACAGTTAGTGGCTTATAATATTTCACATGGTTTCAAATTGTCACAGAGGATGCTGAATCTCAGTTTCTGAAAGCAGGTGTGAATCTCAGAGGACAGGAAAGATAGGGCATTTTCTTCATCTTGTTTTCACTTTATTTCCAGTTTACATATTTTTTATTAAAAAAGAAGAAAATGTCACCTTTTGCCTTCAATTCAGAAATGAGCCAAGATGCATAACACAAAGGGCACAGGAAAAAAACATCCACAGAAAAGTATTTATTGATTGAGGTTCTAAAATAAATGAGGCCGGGCAGTGGTGACGCACACCTTTAATC